TATATATATATATATATATATATATATGGAATTCTGGTGGTGGAGTGGTTAAGGCATTAGGCTGCTAACTATAAGTTTGGTGGTAACCAATGCACTGCTCCAGCTGCTCCGTGGAAGAAAGATGAGGCAATCTACTTCTGTGACAACTTAAAACAAAAAACAAACACACTCACTGCCGTTGAGTCAGAACCAACTCATAGCAACCCCTCCTTAGGTTTCCAAGGCGGTATCACTACGGAAGTAGATTGCCCAACCTTGGAAACTCAATGGGCATCTCTAGGAATCAGAATCAACTTGATGGCAGTGAGTTTGGTTTTGGTATATATACATACATACATACACAAAATGAATGAGCAAACAGATACGGGGCATGTGGAACCATGAACCATGATTCAAGTTTAATAATGTTACTTTATTATTCTTTTAATTTCTGACTTGGTAATCTTCTTTGGGCCCATTTAACTCTAAATGTTGTTAGAACAAAAACATTTTTTCATAATATACAGTTCAAATGTTGCTTAAGTAGATTTTCTGAGAGTTGCCTAATTTCACTATGCAGACAGACAGTAAAATGATTCACTCATTTTTCCAGACAGAACAGACACATAACTTACTTCCAGTGGGAAAAGGTCTTATGAACTTTGGTGACTCGACGCTTGGATTCACTGGTTGGCCTGAACCCCATATCTCAGGCTGATCTAGAAGAACTGGAAACATAAAAAGAAAATTTCCCAGGGTGAGTTCAAAACAGAACACTTCCTAAACTTTAGAACTTAAAATTTGAATTTAAGTTGAGCATCAAAAAATTATTTCCCCTTTCTTAGCAACCTGGCAATTAATTTAGGAATGTGCTGCTCCTCATGTTACTCAAGCAGAGAATGAAAATAGGAATGGTGTGGTGTGTGTGTGTATGGAGGTGTCTGGGTGTGTAAATACAGCTAAATAAAAACTTTTAACACATAGTTCCTACATTTTCTTTCTCTTGATAATTTAAGGGCACTTAATATCAGGTTGATATTGGCTATACACGTGGACTTCACCAGATGGAGTACACAGGAATCAGACTGACTACATCTGTGGCAAGAGGTGATGGAAAAGCTCAATATCTTTAGCTAAAACAAGGCCAGGAGGTGATTGTGGAACAGACCATCAACTGCTCATATGGAAGTTCAACTTGAAGTTGAAGACAATTAAAACAAGTCCATGAGAGCCAAAATATGACCTTGAATATATCCCTCTTGAATTTAGAGACCATCTAAAGAATAGATTTGATGTATTGAACACCAATGACCAAAAACCAGAATTGTGAGATGACATCAGGAGCATCATCCATGGAGAAAGCAAAAGGTCATTAAAAAAGACAGAAAAGGAAGAAAAGACCAAAATGGATGTCAGAAGAGACTCTGAAACTTGCCCTTGAGCAGAGAGGAGCTAAAGCAAATGGAAGAAATGACAAGATAAAAGAGCTGAACAGAAAATTTCAAAGGGCAGCTAGAGAAAACAAAGTCAATTATTATAACGAAATGTGCAAACACATGGAGTTGGCAAACCAAAAGGGAAGAACATCCTCAGCATTTCTCAGCTGAAAGAAGTGAGGAAAAAATTTAAGCCTCAAGTTGCAATACTGAAAGATTCTATGGGCAATATATTGAATGATGCAGGAAGCATCAAAAGAAGATGGAAGGAATATACAGAGTCACTGTACCAAAAAGAATTGGTTGATGTTTATCCATTTCAGGAGGTGGCATATGACCAAGAACCAATGGTATTGAAGGAAGAAGTCAAAGCTGCACTGAAGGAAGTGGCTAAAAACAAATTTCCAGGAATTGATGGGATAACCACTGAGATGTATCAACAAATGGATGCTGTGTTGGAGGCACTCACTCAGCTATGTCAGGAAATTTGGAAGACAGCTACCTGGCCAACTGACTGGAAGAGATCCAGATTTGTAACCATTCCAAAGAAAGGTGATCCCACAGAATGTGGAAATTATTGAACAATGTCACTAATATCCCATGCAAGTAAAATATTACTGAAGATAATTCAAAAATGGTTGCAGCAGTATATTGACAGAAAACTTCCAGAAATGCAAGCTGGGTTCAGAAGAGGACGTGGAATGAAGGATATCATTGCTGATGTCAGAGGGATCTTGGCTCAAAGCAAAGAATACCAAAAAGATGTTTACTTGTGTTTTATTGACTACGCCAAAGCATTTGATTGTGTGGATCATAACAAATTGTGGATAACATTGAGAAGAACGGGAATTCCAGAACACTTAATTGTACTCATGAGGAACCTGTGCATAGACAAGGAGGCTGTTGTTCAAACAGAACAAGGGTACATTGCATGGTTTAAAATCAAGAAGGGAGTGTGCTAGGGTTGTATCCTTTCACCATACTTATTCAATCTGTACATTGAGCAAATAATCCAAGAACCTGGACTGTATGAAGCAGAACATGGCATCAGCATTGGAGGAAGACTTATTAACAACCTGCAATATGTGGATGACACAACTTTGCTTGCTGAGAGTGAGGATGACTTGAAACACTTACTAATGAAGATTGAAGAATACAGTCTGCAATATGGATTACACTTCAACATAAAGAAAAAAAAATCCTCAGAACTGGACCAATAAGCAGCATCATGATAAATGGAGAAAAGTTTGAAGTTGTCAGAGACTTCATATTACTTGGTTTGACAATCAACGCCAATGGAAGCAGCAGTCAAGGTATCAGACAATGTATGTTGTTGTTGTTATTTGCCGTTGAGTCGGCCCCGACTCATAGCGACCCCTCCTTGGGTTTCCGAGGCAGTATCACTACGGAAGTAGGATTGCCCAACCTTCCTTCCGAGGAGTGGCTGGTGGGTTTGAACCGCCAGCCTTCTGGTTAGCAGTCAAGTGCCTTAGGCACCATGCTACCAGAGCATGTATAGCTATACCAGACAATGTATAGCACTGGGCAAATTGGCTGCAAAAAACCTCTTTCAAGTGCTGAAGAACAAAGATGCCTCCTTGAGGACTAAGGTGTGCCTGACACAAGCCATGATATTTTCAATCACCTCATATGCATGTGAGAGCTGAATGAATAAGGACAATGAATAAGGAGGACCAAAGAAGAGTTGATGCTTTTGAGTTGTGCCGGTGAAGAATGCTGAAAATAGCATGGAGTACTAAAAGTACTATCAAGTCTGTTGTGGAAGAAGAGCAGACGGAATGCTCCTTGGAAGCGAGATGGCCAGACTTTGTCTCACCTACTTTGGTCATGTTGTCAGAAGGGACCATTTCCTGGAGAAGGATATCATGCTTGGTAAAGTGGAGGGTCAGTGAAAGAGGGGAAGGACTTCAACAAGATGAATTGACACAGTGGCTACAGTGATGGGCTGAGGTATGGCAGGGATCGTGGAGCTGCCACAGGACAGGGCAGTGCTTCATTCTACTGTTCGTAGGGTTACTATAAGTTGAAGATGACTCGATGACACCTAACAACAACAACAACATCATCATCAGTAACTGTATTAACTCAGTTTCTGGCACTCATTGAAAATCAGACATTAATTTTATGAGCATTTGTCTTGATTTTAGGTGGTTTATTTAAAATTTGATATGAATATGTAGCAAGAATGAAACATCTGGGTCATGTAGAGTGGTTTGTATTTTTAAAAGGTCTTCCAAGGTTTTTAAATAAAACTATTTTAGTATCATAAAGAAAAATAAAATTTTTCTAAAAATACTTAGTGACTATATTAAGAAAATATTGGAAAAATTAACAAGTTCTTAGATATTTAAAATGAATCAGGGTATACATAAAGGTAATAAGTATTGGCCTAAAGACACTGAATTTAACATTTCTTCTATTTCTTCACTTTTCTTGTTTTGAGTTCTTTATTGCTATGGTAACAATGTAAATATTACCTCTTAAGGCATTTGACTACTACCCAGAAGGGTGGCAGTTCAACCCCACCAGCCACTCCTCGGAAGGAAGATTGGGCAATCTATTTCTTTAGAGATGCAGCCTCGGAAACCCAAGCAAGGGCCGCTGTGAATTGAAATGACTTGATGGCAATGAGTTTAGGTCTAAGCATCTATCGTGTCAAAAACCAAACCAAATTCACTGCTGTGGAGTTGGATCTGACTCATAGCAACCCCTCCTTGGGTTTCCAAGGTGGTATCTCTGTGGGAGTAGATGGGGTAATCATGTGTCAGGTACTATGCAAATACTATTTTTTTTTTTTTTTAACTTTTATTTTGGGTAACCATATGTAACATATAATTTGCCATTTTAACCACTTTTAAGTGTATTTAATTCAGTGACATTAATTATATTCACATCATTATGCAATCATCACCATTATCTGTTCTAAAACTTTTAAATAACCCCAAAGAGAAACTCAGCATCCACTAAGTAATAACTCCCCATTACTCTTTTCCCCAGTCTCTGGCAACCATTAATCTACTTTGGTCTCTATGCATTTACACATTCTTGATATTTCATGTAAGTGGAATCATACAATATTTGTCCTTTTTTCTAGTATTTCAGTCAGCATGATGTTTTCAAGGTTCATCCCTCTCATAGCATGTATTGGAACTTCATTTCTCTTTATAGTTGAATAACATTCCATTGTATGTATATACCATATATTATGTATCCATTCATCTGTTGATGGATATTTGGGTTATTTCCACATTTTGACTATTGTGAATAATGCTACAGTGAACACTGGTACACAAATATCTGTTTGAGTCCCTGTTTTCAATTATTTGGGGTACATACCTAAACGTGGAATTGCTGGGTAATAGGCAATTCTGTGTTTACCTCTTTGAGAAACTTCAGATAGTTTTCCACAGTGGCTGAACTATATTGCATTTCCACTAGCAATGATGAGAGTTCAAACTTCTCCACACCACTTCAACATTTGTTATTTACTATTTTTTAAAATTTTATTATTATTATTTTTTATAATAACTATCCTAGTGGGTATGAAGTAGTATGTCATTGTGATTTTGATTTGCATTTCCCTAATGGCTAATTATGTTGATGAAATGTTTTCATGTGCTTATTGGCCACTTATATGTCTTCTTTGGAGAAACATCTATTCAAATCCTTTGCTCATTTTTGAATTGAGTTTTTTGTCTAAAAATTGTTGAGTTGTGCAAATACTACTTTCAGTTCATTATGATGGAGAGCACAGTTGGTTAGATGTGGGTTTGAATCCAGACTCTATACTTAATGTAGGACCTTGGACAAGTTATCTAACCTCTTTGAACTTTTGATCCTTTGGGTGTAATACAAGGATAAGAACAATTTCACATAGTTGAAGGAGAAGGGTTAGAAGAAGGTAATGTATATGAATATACTATACATAAAACCCTTAACACAATGCCAGTTATAATTTTTATACCTTTTAATCCTCACAATACCACCATGTGGTTGACATTAATACTATTTTTGGAAAGGAAACTGTGGATTAGAGTGATTAAATAAGTTGAGCAAGAGCATACTTGGAGAAAGTAGAAGAACTAAGGTCTGATCCAAGTGTATCTGATTCCAAAATATTTTTTCCGCAGGGCTTTTAAACTAAGGATTAAAGAACCAATCAAAAAAAAAGGAGGAGTATGCAGTAAGAAAGGGAAGTGTGGGTTTTGGAAGAACTGATGTGGTTTGTGTGAATGTTGAAACTTTACAGAACATCAGGGTAGAAACCACAGAAAGAAAAATCAAGCTAGTCTCATTGATAAGTTTGGTTGAATACTCCTTTTCTATCATAAAACCAAAAGACAGCCCTAGCTCTATTTTCTTTTGACATGTACTCAAACATTCTCCAAAAACGTGAAGCAGCACTTTATTTTTGGTTGTTGTTCACCACCCATTCAAGATGGGACACCAACTTTTTTTTTTAAATTATATTTTGCATAAAATTATGAATACCTTACATGATACCTTAAATTTGATGCAACAAAGCCAATCCAATCCTTGTTTCCTACACAACTATGTAAGTAAATGTGTGATTGGTTATGTTATTGTTAGGTGTCATTGAGTCAATTTCAACCAGTTTACAAGATGACCTTATATATAACAGAATGAAACACTGCCCAGTCTTGTACCATCCTCAAAATCATTGCTATGCCATTGTTGCAGCCGTATCAGTCCATCTCATTGAGAGTCTTCCCCCTTTTTGCTCCCTCTTCTTTACCAGGATTGATTATAGGTGAGTTTATAACATAGCTGAAGGCTTTATCACAGGACAACTTTTATATAGAGGTTCTAAGTTATAGGCATTTAAATAGTTGAAAGAGGATGTAGGAATTCTCCTTATACCTTTTCTTAACTACATCATTCGAAACATTTCAGGTGTGGCTGACTGCTAGCTGTCTCCCAGTATCCATCCATCTTCCACACTTATTACTGGCAATGAATTCCATTGCCCTTTTTCCCCTTTCTTCTGACTGGGAGATGATGAGACCAGGGGCAACCAGATGGCTGGTCTACCCTGTTGTTGTGTGTCATTGAGTCAATTCTGACTCACAGTGACCCTATTTGACAGAGTAGAACTGCCTCATAGAGTTTCCTTGGTCATAATCCTTATAGAAGCAGATTGTCAGGTCTTTTCGACCATGAAGTGGCTGGTGGGTTTGAACTGCTGACCTTTTAGTTAGCAGCTGAGCACTTAACCACCAACATGGCTCCTTAGGGCCACCAACTTCCGTAGTGATACTTCTTCAGAAACCCAAGGAGGGGTTGCTATGAGTCCAGTCTGACTCAACGGCACATAACAACAATAACAACTATCAGTATTATATTGCTTACTTCTAGACCGGTAGTATGAAGAGAAATAAAATCCTGTCTTGTCATATTCACCCTACTCTGGTGTTTCTTTGTTATTTTGGTTTAGCCTACTCATTACATTTAATTTCCTTCACCAATGGGTCCTGGAAAAATAATATTTTACCACAGTGCTCTTAAGTCACATAATATATATTAACAAACACAGCTACCGAGGAGATGTATATTGGACATCAACACATTTCAGGAGTAGATTAGGTACTTTTTAAGAGAGTTTCTTTTATATGTATGAATGAATATTTAAGAGGTAAATCCAATAATAATGAAAGAAATATTTATATTCTTTTTCTCCCACAACATTTTACTTCTAAGTTGCTAAATGATTCAAGGTCATTCCTGGGTCATGCATGAGCCTGTAAACATCTTTTTTTGAGCAATGCAGTTGGTACTTCCATTGATGGGGTGAAACATAGAGAAGATGTGGTCAGAGAGGTTGGAACACAATGCCAGTGCTATGATGGAAAGTATGGTGGTGGGTTGGCTCCATTGTGCTCCTGCTAATACCTCCAATGATGGCTGTTTAGCTCACAGAGCATTTCCTTCCTGACCAGTGATTTGTGATAATTCTTTGTGACCTCTTTGAGGAGTGAATTTGTTAGCTATATATATGTATATGATAGCTAACAAATTCACTCCTCAAAAGAGGTCATAAAGAATTTATATATATTTAAAAGTTAAGTTTCAAATCCTAAAATAATAGAGATTTGAAAACTAAATTCTTATGCTTTATAGAACTCCTACATCGGAACTTTTCTTTCAGAGAAGAATCTGATGATACATTAAAAATATTAAATTCTCAATGAAATCCAGATTTTCTGGATGAACTGAGGCTGAATGAACTTCTGAAACTACTACTCTGAAATAATCTTTACACCTTAAATCTTGAACCAACACTACACCCCCTAAAATCTTCTTTGACCCAAATAATAGTTTAGCTTAATTAATAAATCATGTCTTCCTTAGCCATTATGCTCTTTTAAAGAATTATCTATGTGGGATCAAATTGATAAAAGTAACTTGAAAGGTTAGATGAGAGGCTTAGTGGGCAATGAGTTTAGGATAACGGTGGTGGAATGATTTGGAAAAGGATAGCTAGAATGGTTATACAACTTGAAGAATGTAATCAGTTTGAATTGTACATGTAAAAATTGTTGAAGTAGTGTATTTTTGTGTATATTTTCACCAAATAAATATATCAGTCAATTAAAAAAAATGCCTCAAAACACTTTAGGTAAGTTATATTTCACTGAAAAGAAAAACAAATCCATAGATATATAATATTTTTTTATTTTTCTTTTTTTTACCTTCTGTCTTCTGTTCATCAAAAGCTGATTCTAATGGTGGGCCAAAGAGGGGGGCAAGGGCCACAGTGTCATCTGGAGGCTTTTTGCTAAATTATGTACATTGAAGCAAAACAGACAGAAAGATAGTGATTGTTAATGCTACAAAAGATATATAAGTTACAAGCTTTCAACTATTTCTCTAGGTCAGACAGGTGTGTGTGCATGTATGTGTATGTGCACTATGTAAGTATGCCTGCAAGCATGTGTATACAAAGCTCCTGTAGGGCTCGAAAATATTATCAAGGATGTCAAATATATAAATATGTTATGGGATAAGACAGTTGGTAGGAGATAAGATCCCTGGCTCTCAGTGGGTTCCAACCTATTTCTGTTGGAAGGAGAGAAAGTCTTTTCCAAGCAATATGATTATTTATACTGAGACGATAATATTAGAGATAAGAGTTTATTGCAAAGCACTTTTCTCCCCTAAGATTTCACAAAACATTTATGTTTGTCTTCACTACATCTCTTTGATGTAGTTAATACAGTTTATGATTAGTAAAAAAGCAGGCATAGGTAGGTTAGGTGACCAGCCATGCAGGATGTCAGTGTTTGTGTTTGAGTAAGCAGTGATTCTTCCAGCTTCTAATTCCATTTTTTCCCCACCCAATAGACTAACCATAACCTCCTAAAACTCTAAAGTAGCACATCTCAGAAAGAAGCAGATTATCAAGAAATCATGGGGGAGCAGGGAAATAATAAATTAAACTCTTACTATTTCTTAAATTATTACTCAAGAAAGATTATTAACAAAGGGCTACATAATCTTCTTTATTTCTTCTCTAGACTTGATTTCTTTTATTGATCTTAATGAGTTCTCTCTCTCTCTCTCTCTCTCTCTCTCTCTCTGTGTGTGTGTGTGTGTGTGTGTGTGTGTGTGGTAGGGGATGAAGAGGTGAAGAGAAGGGATTGGAGGAGGAGGGAGAGATTTGAAAGAATCCAGCATTTAAATAGTGATTAACAGTCATTTTGAAAACAACACTGTTTGTACAACACTCTCCCAACCCAAACAATATGCAGTGTAAAATGTGTTGCTTTGCCAAAAGCCAAAATGACATCTAAGAAGATTCCTTTGGTGTGTGACAGGTGGAATGAACATATCATGAAGTTGTAACCCTTTCCATGGGATAATAAACTATCTCAGATCAGCATTCTAGAAACCAAAAGACCCTCTCATTAGTGATAGGATTAAACATTCTGATGGATGGTTACTTCAGATGACCCCAGAGTACTTCCCTAAAGGTCTCCCTGGGGCTGCACTTATGAGAAATGATAGTATATTGGGACAATGCTATGAACTTGTACCTGTGGGCAGGCCCCTCATTAACAGGCAGTCAGAAGATTAGCTCAGAGGAGATTTGCTTAAAATATTAAGGGTATGATGCCTTGCATAAAACGTAACTAGTGTTTTCTATGCTCACCTTACAAGTTCTGGAGTTGGAGTGGAACGCCTGGGTCTTGCCACTTCTTCATCTGATACACAGGACAAAGGAACATTTTAGTCCTTTTTTTTTTTTTTTTTTTACCACTTCCCTCTGGCATATTTTATGAGCTATGTTTGGAAACACTAAGAGATTTAAGTGCCATCAATAAGCAATTCAATATTAAAATTTTCAAAACAAACCCAGAAAACAAGCCCTCTCCCCTGGCAATGCAACAGTCATGTATCAGGCATATGTAGTGGCATTTCCTCTGGCATTTGTAAAACCTCATTCACAAAGGAACCTCTAGGATAAGCCATTAAAAAGATTTGTATATTATTGAGCTTAATGGAATAGCATATCATTCTTTGAATGTGTGCTGTGTTGATCAGTTCTGCTATTCAATTAGCACGAGACTACTAAGCCAGGCCATATGCACATGGTACATGAATCCAGCATTCCATGCCTGTTGTTTCCTTGAAATGCCAAGAAAATGTCATATCTGTCAACTACATACCATGAATTTTGAGTTTCTTGGAATGCGTTGTATGCAGTGGAAGAAAATTTCACTTGATGGAAACATGCCAATAGCATAGCAGTTTGGTTGATTAAATTTTCATATCAAATAATACAAGAATGGTTAAATTATATCTACCTTAGTTCATTTTATCCTCCTCCTCTCCCCACCCCAATCAACAAATATATACTTGATTAAATTCATTTCTAAAGTTAAGTGCTACATAAAGAGCTGACATATATAGGAAGAAGATAGCAATTTTTTTGCAAAAGCAGATTCAGTTTAAGAATTTAAACATTAATCATTCTGAACCTATAGAGTCCCTTTATTATTACAAGATGTCTTTGCTGTAAAAGTAGAAAAAGTAAGCCTTAAAAATTAAGCCTAGATATATAATTCAAATGTATACATCCTCTAAGATCCAAGGGACTGTTCCTTCTTTTAAATCATACTCTATTTCTTGTAGCTAAAATATACTTACTGGATAAGTTCCTTTTAATTGCACCCTAGAATTAGAAATAGACACTATAAGGTTTAAGACCACATAGATGTTATGTACAATATGTGTATATCTCTCAATGCATTAAACTGAACTGAGAAATGCAGATGGTGAAAATAAAAAATAATTCAAACTGCACTCAAGCTGGGAATTGTAGACATATACGCATAAATCCATTTTTCATTTGAATCAAAGGTTACAGAGAGGAAGGGAGGATAAACAAGTCTTTTGAACCATTAAAAAAAAAAAAAAAAACCCTTACCTGGATAGTTTTGGCAAATTAAAAACAAATAATGAATAGTCCATTAAAAACAAAAACAAAACAAAACCTTGAACTCTATAGTAGCTGAGAAAGCAAATCCAAGGCTACCATAATCCATGTCCCCGATTAATGTCTAAACATTATAGAATGTTTTAGGGCTATTATCTGCTTCTAGTCAAGTGGGAGCCACAAGTTGCTGACATAAACAGCCATCAATTTACTAATGAAATTTTTAAAGGTATAAGTGACAAGTGTTAAAGGGAAGGGAAAGTTAGAGGCATTGCTATTGAATTGTCTGTTTTATTCAGCAAACCAGGGGATTCCATTCTACATTTATTTCTCCCACCTGCCTGCCAAGGGCCCATCAATCCGTTTATTAGAAGTCATTCCTTTAGCTCAAGGTATTGTGATTCTATTGGAATGAAAATAGTCCTGTCAGAAGTAATCTGAGAAAGACATCTCTACCATTTATAGCACCATAGACCTTTAACTAAGAATGTTTATTTAGATAACAGAAGCATTGAGGAGATCAAAAATTTTAATCTGAAAAATCACAAGTAGTGGAAAGTTCTTAGCAGGAGGTGCTACCAGAAAAACAGACTGTCAGGAGGTTGGAATCATGGGGCAGGATATGGCTTGGCATGGCCAGCTTTGAGAGAACGACAGGCAGGGATCACCAGGAATGACGGTTTGGTGGGTGGTTATTAAAGACAGGTTTTCCCTATTTTCTAAGTTTGATGAAGACTCAACCCAGTGGCCATATTTGTTTTCTTTTCTCAAATTATAACATTAATAACTTAGTACCAGATCTCTGTAACAGACCTATAGGCAGTTTCTCTTTTTCTTTCCTAAAGACTTATCCAGAATTCCATCCAGAATTTTCTAACCCATTTTTACTTATATCCCTTAGAAGAGAGGAAAAGTTTTCATATGAACAAGGATCCATTAGATGTTCTCTTTAAGTGAGAAGTGATTTCTCCTGATAAGGTGGGTGGTTAATCTTCCAAGCTGTATTTTCAGTTTTGTCTTGCCTAATAATGCAATATGTTTTCCCCTACTACATGTGCTATGTAGAGAATTATTACATTATTAGTAAAACAATTTCTAACCAATATGTTCATTTAAATCTGCTATGGTCGTTATGGGGTGTGGATATAGGTGCTTTTGGAAAATAAGATCCTGTGGACAGAAATAGAGAAACTGTTTGATGGAGCTGATTTTTTTTTTTTGCAGTTATGGAGCCACAGATAATCAGTTCTCTATTAATAAGGTCTGAAGGAAAAAATACAAGGGGTCTTGTTCCAAGTAGTCAACCACAAGGTTAATAAGTTGGCATTGAGAGAACAGGGCCCCTTCAGTACTGTGAGTCCTGAGATCCAGGAGTTCAGGAACCCCAGAGGCTGTAATGAAGGCCATTTGGCCTTTCTGTTCTGTTCCTTTTATTAAAAATGTAAAATACCCATGAAACTAAGAAAGGTACAAAGCTTCTTTTGTGCTCATGGATCCCCAGGTGTACTGATTCATTCAACAGATATTTACTGTTGAGGCCCTAAGGAAGAAGAGCCCTTGTAATATTTTTCTTAAATCACCCTCATCAATGAACAATCCACGGTTAAGTGGGAGCGAGCAAGGCAGAAAGATGCAAGGAAACTCTGTTGTTTAAGAGTTAGGAGGAATAAAAATATCAATTTATAAAGAACAGTTATTCCGATGATCATTGACAGGTCAGCAGCAGTAGAAAAGAAAGCCCTATTCATTGTCAGCTGGATTCAGCATACAGATCTTTGACGATCTTGATGTTGCCGGCATGACAACATGGAAAAGGTTATGTGCGATGATGTTCAGCACACAAGTCACATTCAGCAAAACACCATTCAGTGACCACATTTTCCTCTTTTCAATGATTGTTTGTGGATATATGTATACTGTAAATAAATCCCCTTCATTTCAGATTAGTAAACTCACTCCTTTAAAAAAAATAAAAAATAATAAATTTTCATAATCTGTGATATCACCTAACCATGGGATTGGAATCACAATCTGAAAGCAGTCCCTGGAAACATTTAACTTTTGAACCCCAGCTCCGTAGTTTAAATAAAGAACTGCCAACATGTCAGCTAGGCCAGGGTATTTACCTCAAACAATAATTGCTTAATTGAATTGGCACAGGCCTAAAGGTGCAGCAGTCAAGATATCAGACACGTATAGCATTAGGCAAATCTGCTGCAAAAGACCTCTTTCAAGTACTGAAGAGCAAAGATATCTACTTGAAGACTAAGGTGCGCCTGACACAAGCCCTGGTATTTTCAATTGCCTCATATGCATGTGAGAGCTGGACAATGAATAAGGAAGACCAATGAAGAGTCGATGCTTTTGAGTTGTGGTGTTGGCAAAGAATGCTGAAAGTACCATAGTACCATGACTGCTAAAAGAACTAACAAATCTGACATGGAAGAAGTGCCGCTGGAATGTTCCGTGGAAGCAAGAATGGCCAGACTTTGTTTCACCTACTTTGGTAATGCTGTCAGAAGGAACCATTCCCTGGAGAATGGTAAAGTGGAGGTAAAGTGGAAGGTCAATGAAAGAGGTAAAGCAAAGGATCAATGAAAGAGGGGAAGGCCCTCAACAAGATGGAATGACACAGTGGCTACAATATGGGCTCAGGTACAGCAAAGATTGTGGGACTGGCATAGGATCGGGCAGTGTTTTGTTCTGCTGTACACAGAGTCGCTATGAGTCAGGGATGACTTGATGGCACCTAACAACAACAACAATAGGCCTAAGGGTATTTTAGAGAGTGCTGTTTTCAGTCCCATTTCTTCTCTCAAGGGCCTGACTAGATAGGATGCCATTTCAAATACATCAAGACCCTTTTTATTGCTTTAAATTCATAACACAACTCAACCTGAGGAAAATGACAGATTTTACTCTGAACAGTACAAATTAACACTGATTTGCCCTTTAAAAGTTTGTTTTCAGTGATGAAAGAAGTATATGACAGCCTGGGAGTGCTACCTTGAAATCATGCCTCTTCCTCTCAAACTGAAATTGGGATATGTGACAGTGTACATTGAACATTATAAATTATGGTCCAGAAACACATTTTGAATTCAGCCTTAAATGCAATCTGGCTTAGAAATGGTTTCCTTTCTTCTTTTTAGTTTTCTTATTCTTTATTATCGCTTTGCTATCAACTTCTATGGTGCTTTCTAGCTAGTCTCAACACCTTGCATTTACACACAGATATACACATGCATACACACATATACACACATGCACACATACATATTCACACACACATATGCAAGTTTTTCAAATTTAGCTCTAGCAGTTGTAATTTCTATGTAGGAACTTAGTTTGTTATGGGCAAGTTCTCTGAAAATCCTAAACTTTTCAACCAATAAACCTAATTCATCTGTCTCATTCACACTGGTTATCATAAATTTAATGGGAAACCAACCTGGCCACCTTGCTTTGGCAGCAATTTTCTCTATACATGTTTAAGGTAAAAATGTTGAGAGTTCTTACCGGGCTGCGCCTCTGTGATCAGCAAAAAGGAAGAGAGAACAGACACCTAGTCAGAGAATGATGGATCAGTCAACAGGCTTGGGCAATAGAAGACTTCATAAACAGCTAACCAAATAAACTCCAAATAGTCAGGGTAATGGAAGACAAGCAGTCATTGTGTTTGGGGCTTATTTAAACCATAAGGATTGGAAAAACTTATAGAGAGACTATCTACTGTACACTGAAGCTTTGATAATGGGGAGGTACTATTTTCAGTTATGAATACACAAAAACAAAACAGAAATGTACAAGAAAACATTACTGGCAGCTTTGAATGTCTTGTTAGAAGGAATTTTTCTCCAGATTATTTGGAGCAAAGGGACAACGATTGAGAATACGTAGTACAGGGTGTACTGATTCACTGAACCAATAGGGCATTAGCTACTACCATAAACACAGTACATTTCCTATGTAATTAAAGCTTAAAGGGAGCGCCAACAAAATTAGAGGCAAGATTTAAGGAGACGTCTTCCTTACCTCCTATCTGTCAGTATGCTGTACTGTGGTGGCATGTGTGTTTCAAATATCAATAGGGTCATCTATGGTGGGCAGGTTTCAGCAGATCTTCCAGACTAAGATAGTCTAGGAGGAAAGGTATGGAGATCTACTTCTAAAAGTTAGTCAATGAAAATCTTGTTGTTGTTGTTATGTGCCGTCGAGTCGGACCTGACTCATAGTGACCCCTCCTTGAGTTTCCAAGGTGGTATCACTACGGAAGTAGATTGCCCAACCTTCCTTCCAAGGAGTGGCTGGTGGGTTTGAACCACCAGCTTTCAGGTTAGCAGTCAAGTGCCTTAGGCACTATGCTACCAGAGCTCCTTAATGAATACCTTATGAATCATAATAGACTGCTGTTCAATATAGTGCTGGAATAGGAGCCCCCTAGGTTGGAAAGCACTACACAATAATCACAATGGACTTAAACATACCAATGATCATGAAAATGCCTCAGGACTGGGTAACATTTCTTCTGTTATACAGACGGTCGCCATGAGTGGAGTTGACTCTAGGGGAACTTCCTTGTCTGGCTTTTTCCTTTAATGTGTCATTGGATGTGTGTTTATGAGAACTGTATTGTGAAGATATTTGTTCTAGTTATTTGGGCAGCCTCTATCAATGCATAAGAATGTAGTGAGGAAGAAGAGCAGCAACTAACAAACACAGGTGAGAATAATGAAAACTGGCCAGCACCAACAGAACACTGGTGGACCAAATGATGTCTGGTAAAACCAAACAAGCAGATACACTCCTTTCACTCCTCAGACCTTGACTGTTGCTTAATTACCAATTTACTCCAACAATCTCTGATTTCTCTCTTTTAGGATCCTTCCGTGGTAACAAGAATGACTAGTATGTAAGTTGGGAAAGAGATATTATACACAGTTTCATTTTCAGGATATGGACTAGACCATGAACTAACCAGAGGCTACTTGGGACCCAGTAACGACCACATCCCAAAGCACAAAACTTAAAAGCAGCCAGGAGGTTGCTCGAATGAAAAGGTTGGTTCCACTCTTATACCTGTGCCTTTTATACCTAACAGACCTCCATGGATGTCAAGTCTAACTCCCTTTATGATATGGAGAGGAAAGAGAGGCTCTGAGACATGCAGAGGGTAAATGAGCAGAACCAGAGATTGAATTGAGATCCCCGATCTTCCATTCTCATGTTCTTTCTATGATATCAAGCATGACATTACTGGAGGAATCCTAGAGAACAACTGTAGCTAATGTCCAAAAATGGTTATTTCTCAGACTAGTATTGTTAAGTAGTTAGGACTCTAGACATATTTACTCTAGTCCATATATTATTTAAGGGGTGGTCTGGTAATATAGTACCTAAGGCATTTGATTGCTAACCAGAAGGCTGGCAGTTCTTTCCATGTGCTTGGGACATCTGGGAGTTGCTATAAGTTGGAACTAACTCGATGGCAGTGAGTTTGGTTTGGTTTTTCTGAGTTGGTCTGTATTAATCTCACATATCTTAAAAATCTATCTATATGCATGTATGAAACTTAAATAAAATTGGGAAAAAAGATATTTGTGAATATGTATTTCTGGGCTTAAGATCTTTTACTGACCAATCCATATTGTGTTTTGAAAGAAAAAGAGGCATTCTTTTATATGAAGATTTGGATTTTATTTTTCTTTAGAGGCCAGACTAAAGGTCTTTTTCAAAGAAGGAAACATGGGAACTTACGATTTTAGATTCAATTGCATGGTAAATAATTTCCTTTTGAAAGTAGCATATAAATACAGCAAAGAAGAGCTTAAAAGTGACAAACCAAGATGAAATTGTGAGAATTAATGCAAAATAAAATGCAGTTTGCAACCACATAGAAGCAGATCTTTAAATTCAAGATCAATTATTAATTTAAGATTATAGAGAAAAACACAATTTCAATTATATTAATCCACCCAAATTAAGTCAGACCTTAATTGCCAGTTACTTTGAAACTAGATTATTAAAGACATTCTCATAAGATAGAGTTTTGGAGACTCCAATTGCAAATGTCATCATCACTATACTCTTTTGAAGGAATAGCTGTTCATATTAGTCACAGGCTGATTAACCAGAATCCATAAGACCCAGCTAAAAGCTAAAAAAAGTACAGAACCAAAAGACCTCAAGATCTCTAATGAAGAGCTATCTGAAATTCTCAAAAGCAAAATAACTCCAGAAGTCAATTTGATGACTTGATGCAACTGTTATTTATTTATTTATTTTTAAAGTAGATGTTAATTGGAGTCCCTGGGTAGAGCAAATATTAGGGATCTTGGCTGCTAACTGAAAAGTTGGAGGTTTGAATCTATTCAGAGGTATCTTGGAAGAAAGCCCTCACCATCTGCTTCTAAATAACCAGCCACAGAAGACTCCACAAGCACGGTCCTACTCTGAGACAAATGAGGTCCTCATGAGTCTAGGTTAACTCCACGGCAACTGGCTATCTGGCTATCGTGTGCCATGGAGCTGATTCTGACTGATAATGACCTTAATGACAGAGCTACCCTATAGGGTTTCCTAGGCTGTCATCTTTATGGGAACAGATTGCCAGATCTTTCTCCCACAAAGTCACTGACCGGTTTGAATCAACAACCTTTTGCTTAGCAGTCAAGTACTTAACCATTGTACCAGTGTAAAGTAGTTATAGGCTCTGCCAGACTAGAGGACAGCTGGGTGAGTATTAGCCATGAGCAGAGGGTCTTTTCTTGTTAAAAATTTCATTTTACCCTTTCCTTATCATTTCCCAAGAACTTCAATGCCTTTAAGGAGCACTAGTGGCATTATACCTAAGCCATTTGACTGCTAACCCTAAGGGTGGCAGTTCAAACCCATCAGCTACTCTGTGGAAGACTAGGCAATCTACTTCCGTAAAGATTTACCACTGCCCACTTACCCACTGGAAACCCAATGGGGGTTGCTATGAGTTGGAATCAATTCAATGGCAGTGAGTTTTGTTTGGTTTGGTTTTTTTGAAGCCCTTAATTAAAGTTCTTTGTTCTGCCAATATACAAAATTTGCTTCAAAAGTGGAAGGAAACAGATTCAGTGTCTGGTCTTCATTATTTTATAAGCTAAGAGATCTTCGTCCAGAATTTCAAACTCAAACACTTACAGGAGTAAGGAGCAGGACTAGGTGTAAGGGTATGTTTGAGTCAGGAAGCTCTCTGACCACTACTCAGTTTCCCCCAGGATTGTAATGCAGAAGTGTGGGCCTAGGGCTATCAGATCTTTGGAGGTGCTAAGAGAAGAAGATGAACATGCACATTTTTTTTAAATTTGAAATCTGGTTTTTGAATGTGGGCTAAAATGAAATTGTTTTTAAGTGTACAATCAAATAAAACACTTATGTACAATAAGTACCTGGGTTAGGAACTTCTGATTTACAGCCAACCAAAGCTTCTAACCGCTTCATTCTTGTTCAACCCCCCGCTGAGAATTTGCAGGTGACATTAGACATCTTGTTAAAATATAGATTCTGATTCAGTATATCTGGGGTGGAAATGCAAATTCTCAGCAGACGGTCTATTGGAATGAACCAACACATAGCCCTGCAGATAACTACTGCTTACCCTCACATTGCCCTCCCTTTGAAAATGATTGAACCAACCCCTAAAAAAATAAAACCAAGCCCACTGCCATCAGTCGGTTCTGACTGATAGTGACCCTCATCGGGTTTCCAAGGCTGTAAATTCTTTGTGAAAGCAGATTGAATTGCCTAATTTTATGGTTAAGCAGACCAATGCCTTAACCACAGCACCAATCCCTACTTGCAACAAATTCTTCAAACAATCAGGTTCATTTGCTGCATGTGTGGTTTTTGAGTTACGGAAAGGCTTCTAGCCTTTTCTTGCGCTTAAGGAAGGCCAAGAACTGTATGCACCTATTGACTTACCTACAAATTCTTACACAGTTAGGAACAGATCTTGGTTGTAACCCAGGGACTGTCTGTAGTTATTCAGAGTCTGCAGGTGGCTAATTTGTGTCTGATTGCAAGCATTTGTAGCAAACACAATAACCACTCAGTAAATTTTTGAGGCTGTTCTTATTTACTCCATTTCTAAACCTGATTAACAGGAATTTTCCAATTGGTCTATTCATTTTGTAAACAAATTTTCTATGCTCCCAATTAAACTTTAATTGCTCAGTTCATGATTTCTCTTGGTATTCTGATATATTCTAGAGAAAGTTTTGGAAAATGTTTTATGTTTGCCTCTACTTTTATTTTGGTGTTCAAATTAGAGATAACTGTATTTTGAGGCTACTTTCAAAGTGAATAAACATTAATTTATGATTTGATCACTGGAATAAAGATCTTTGGTTAGAACATGTATTTCTAAAAGTTATATAATTTGTAATCTAAGCATGCCTCCCTAAAAGGAAATACTATAGGATATGTCCTCACAGTCCCTATAACATCCTTACATCATAATTTTGTTTTGCATAAATGAATTAACTTGAATTCAGTCATAGCCAATATTGGTAAAGTATTTTAAAATGTTAATAAGAGGACGTAACCAAACTTAATGTTTCTTGTTTGCCAAATTCACTAAATATCTAGTCATAGTAGATCTTGAAGCTTTAAATATCCTCGCTTGCTAAATCCAGTGCTATGGGGAAATGAGGAAAATACTACGTGAGTTATAAAGTACTAAGCAGATATTATTTTTATCTAGTCTAATCAAAACCAAAGGAGCTCTGGTGGTGTACTGGTTAAGGGATTTGGCTTCTAACCAAAAAGTTGGTGGTTTGAACCTACCAGCTGCTCCACCAAAGAAAGATGAGGCAGTTTGCTTCTGTAAAGATTTACAGTCTTGGAAACCTAATGGAGGTCACTATGAGTCAAAATCAACTCGATGGCAGTGAGTTTGGTTTTTGGTTTGAGTCAAAACAAATTCAGTGATTCATGTTAGAGAATTTTTTAGGGAAGAATTAGAATATATGGTCATTATGCTTATTACTTATCTAAGAAAACGTCCTCTTTTAAATACTAGAGGGAAGACAAACTATTTGGCAAGTAAACCAAAATTAACTAAGACATTCATACGCCTAAGAAAGGAAGGGGTTGTCTTCTAACTGGAAGGAATACAGACTTTTTTTCTTCTTGCCTTCTGATTCAACTCATTAGGAACAGAAGCATCTACTATTTGCCCCAATATTGTACATGTTTCCCTATATTTAAACTTTTTTCTCTATATATTACAAGTTGGGTTACAGTGAACATGTATCATATCCAATCAGACATGGTCAAGGTGATATTCCGAAACTCCACTTGAGAAGAGAAACTAAAAACCTATTATGATCAAGTCTTCATTAAGATTTGACAAGGGTAAGGAATTAACAAAACAGTTCTAAAGGATAATGAAGCAAGAGGTAGGGAAAGACTTATCCTTGAAGACATATGAGTAGTGAATTGACTCAATGAAAATGGGTTTGGATACTTGTGGTTAAAACTGTTAAAACTGTGCTATGAAAGTACACCAATGATATTGTACTACCACATACACTGAAACACATAGCTAAATCTTAATTACTCACAAGTGGGCTGTTTAGTTTAGTCATAACAATTATAACAATAAGTGCTTATTTTATTTTTGGAGAAAAAGACCAGGGACCCACATTTTGATAAATTGCAACATGTTGAGTCCATTTTGTTCTTTCTGTGCCTTTCTGGTGGTGTATTACCTAAGGCATTTGACTGCTCACTAGAGGGCGGGCAGTTCAAACCTCCCAGTTGCTCCTTGGAAGGAAGATTGGGTGATCCATTTCTGCAGTAATACTGCCTCAGAAACCCAAGGAGGGGTCACTATGAGTCGAATCCAACTCAACGGCAGTGAATTTAGTTTGGTGCCTTCCACTCCTCCACCCTCCTATAACATGGATTTTATATGAGTTCCATATCTGATATGTGGTACAGAGTGACAGGTTTGGGTCAATGGGTGTGGGATATGAGGTGACCACACTTATTGCAGCATCCACTTAAGGTGAGTGAAACAACAAACCAACCCCTTCCTGGTGCTTGTTAATATGGAAACACAATATTTTCATATTACCCAATGTCAAGGTCACCTGTATTAGCCATGCATTGCCATCCTGGGCCACTGAGGAATTTTGAGTAGAACTGTTTCCATGTTGCTCTAAAATAAAACTATATAGGTACATCATACAAGGGTTGTGCTGCCACTGAAAATCACCCACTGATACTGAAAAGTAGTATGCTGATGACTTGTACTTTATAGAGATCCTCTTTTTCAGTTTCTGGCAATTCCAATACAAGATGGGATATTTCAAAATCGAGCAAAGGTAGGGAGCGTCTTTCTGATTTACTACAAAAAGACGGAAAGAATACTCTTCTCTCCTAGGCCAATGTTCTGGTTACCTAGTGCCGTTCTGACAAGAGATATACCACAAATGGGATGGCCTTCACAAACAGGAGTTTATTCTTACTATTTGGAGGCTTTAAGACCAAGATCAAAGTGCCAGGCTCTAGGGGCTGGGTGAAAGCCCCTCAACCTTGGGGTCCAACTCTGCCTCCTGCTCCCGGCCCACTGGAGCTAGAGGCATTTCTTCGCTCAGACAGCTGCTGGCTGCTGAGGCTGAGAAGCCCCAAGGTTGACAAGTCAAAAGGCACAGTCCTGATGTTACCAAACCACACAGCAGGCCATTAACTTAAGTCCAGTGTAAGTCCCAAGGTTGGCAGAACATGGCAGGCTGCTGAGCAACGACACAGCTACATGCAGAGTCCAAGCATGCTATAGGCTAGAGACCATTCTCAAAGCTCCTCCTTATATACAGGAGGCAGACCACATACCCAAAGGCAGCTACCCAGCTGCTTGTGGTAGATCCCACCATAGAGCTGATTGCCAGTCTCCTCATGGGGATTAACTACCACCAGCTGCCCAGCCACTCAACCAGGCCCAACCAAGTTGACACATGAACCAAACTACCACAGCCAGCTTCTCAAGCATTCAAGGTGCTATCATGTTGTACATTAGACAAAAATTTAATTTTTTTTTTTAGATTAGCTCAGGGTATGTATACGTAGCTTGACTAATTCAAGTGGAAGTTGCAATAAATGAAACTTAGTACCTAAAATATGTGATCATATGTCTATGGTTAAAACACAGGTGAATCTTTACAAAACTACCCTGTGACTCTTAATAACAGGGTTTCAAAATCACTTAGCAACCGACTTCCTCTTTTTCCCACGGGGCATAATTAGAACTTTCCCTGATTACCAAACGTTTGTTTTTAAAACTAAGAACCTTATTTAGGTGTAAAACACATTCACTCATTAAATATGTAGATTGTGAAAATGAACAGAATAAATAATGTTTGGCCAAAATGTGAAAAAGGCTTATTATTTCTTACCGGACTTTTCCTCTAAAAGCGTAAGCATGGAAGGAAAAATAAAGAGAAAATGAAAGAGGTGAAATATATTCTGAAGAAAAAACAGCTCAAGGCTCAGAATAACTACTTAAGGCAGCTCTCTAAGGCACTGCTGTTATGATGTTTCCTATGGATGTCTGATATGCTCGTTCCTAGGCTGCTGGCTTTGTTCAAGCTTCAGTGGGCATAGATGTGGTCTCCATTTGAACACATCCTACGCTTTCTTTTGAATGGTTTAGTTTTGTCGAACAGATTTATGCCTTCACAATAGAAAATAATGCTTTGTAATATTGAAAGGAATTGAAAAATTCCATTAACACATTTCTTTAGGCACGGCCATGAAACTAAAACATGAGATTTTCCAAAACTCCAGTCTTATCAGGGAATGAGATACTTATAATCTTCCAAGTCACTGTGGCTACAACTACCAACTCTTCATTGACCCTACTCTCATTCTCCCTGACTTCCCTTAGACAATTCATTGACAAAATTCTTTTTCTGGTGAGTGGTCTCTAGTCCCTCAGAATGTTCTTTGGTTTTCTCAGGCAAAAAAAAAGAAAAAAAGGAGGGGGGCTCTTATTGAAGGCTACATCATCTCTTACTGACAGTAGTACTCCACAAGCCCCCTACACAAGCTTCCTACCAGGGTCCTATTTCCAGTTTCATCTTCTAAATCTATCCTTTACATTATCCCAGAATTATTTTCCCAAATCAGTGATATGAATTTATTACTCATTCATTAAAACCCTTCCCTATTATTCAGAAAATAGAACTCAAAATCCATTCTGTGACATTTAGTTCCTTCATGACTGGCTCCAGCTTACCTTCACGCCCTCATTTTCCACTATTGTTTCTGTGAAATTTGCACTTAGCTGCAAACTCTCCTTGACATTCCCTGAACATGCAATATACCCACACACTTCTCTGCCTTATGCTCAAGCTGCTTCTTCAGCCTCTGACGATCTCTCCCTTTCCACCAATCACAACCTGACTCATTCTTCAAGGCCAGTACCATTTCTTCCTTGAGACCTTCAAGTTTCCTAGTCAGAATAAATTGTAACCTTCTCTTGTTTGATGATAATATATTCCTTTTGCTCAATAAACACATGTTGAAAGCTTTCTATCTCTCTCTGACATTTGCTTCAGGGAAAACAAAGGTACACATTGTTAGTATAGTAACTGCAGCACATATTTTGTTCCATATTATTTAGATATTTGTTTCCACTAGATCATTAGCTTACAGCAGTGGTTATGAATTGACTCCCTCTACCCCCAAACATAGTGTTAGGCACATAGTAGACTCTCAAAACATGTTTATGAATTTCCTTTTTGGAGGTCACCAAAACATTATACAAATGTTGGAAGCACGATGTCTTTTGACATACATAAAGATAAGTTGTTCTATGAAATGAATTGTATATGGCCCAAGGGATGTGGTCCCAGTTGTAACAGTTCCTTCACCAGCTTTATAAATATTTCACTTAGACCCTATTTAACTGTTGATCTCTCTACCCATTAGTGACCTCAGTTACTAACACATGTTACAAAGGCTCCAAGGAAGTGGCAGAGCTTTGCACAAACATTAGTGCAGAGCTATGTAATCAGATTTCCAGGATGGAATTTTTTCTTATAGCAAAAAACTAATGCTTCAGAATAACTGAAAGGCAAGATAGGGGCTATATCCTTGGTCCCGCTTTCAGATGTAGACACTTGAGTGAGTAACACAGAGAAATGAAAACGATGAACAAGGTCCAGGTTTTTAAGGAATAGACAAAAAGCATATTCAAGCTCAAATCATATAACTTTAAAGAGATTGTTAACAATGGAAGGAAGAGCATGGACTTTTATAAGTTCAAATGGGTTCAACCCTTATTTTCTGTATGCCTTTGAATAAGTTTACATTGCGCCTCAATTCCATAATTTGTATAGCAGAGACAATCATTACCTTACAGGGTTGTTGTGAGGACTGAAAAATGAGCATAATATTGATAACATTTATTTAGAATTAGTATTGTTTTACCTTATGTGGTGATATCTTTATCTTCTCTAATTTACCAATGAAATGGAGGATCCAGTAACTTTCAAGGTCACTTGGTAACTAGGGAGCAGAGGTCTTACTGGAGCCCAGGTTGTCCAATTCTAGACAGCCAGGTCAGAGGCCTGCTGTTGGAACAGCCAAAGCCCCCAAACAGATGAGCCCACTTTCAGTGCCTTATCAACATTGTGATCTAGAAACAATGGAGTTAAAAGCTCACACATTACAAAGTCTGGAAAATAATCTTGGATCTTTCCAATAGAAAGATATGTCTGTCTATCATAGCAGGTCTCAGAAAGTGAGCTTGTGTTTCTAGGCATGGTTACAGTCCTTGGAATTACACTTTGATTATAAAATAAATTTCTTAGTCTTTTACTAGAATTTAATGCATTTTATTTAATTAAAATTAGAAGAATAAAGATGAGCATGCAGGTAAGAAGGAGCTCTGGTAGCATAGTGCCTAAGGCATTTGACTGCTAACCAGAAGGCTGGCGTTTCAAACCCACCAGCCCCTCCTCGGAAGGAAGGTTGGGCAATATATTTCCGTAGAGATACCGCCTCGGAAACCCAAGGAGGGGTCACTATGAGTTAGGTCCGACTCGACAGCACATAACAACAACAACAATATGCAGATAAGAAGGGTTATCCTCCCTTCCCCCAAATCTTTTCTCATATAGGCTACATGATGTGTTAGACCATCTTTATTGACTATGTTGTTTTGCTTTAATTGATAGCAGCTACCAACACCTAGACTGTGACCTCTTAGCTTAAGGGTTTCTTCAGAATGTTAAACAAATGAACAGTACAAACAAGAAAATTCTCTTTAGGGAAAAACAAAGATATTTCTTGATTTTAAATTACTTCATTGCATTAGAGTTGATTTTTTTAATTATGGAAAAGTGAGATAACTGGAAAATAGATGTATTCCTCTAGGCTCAAGTGAAAATAGAGTAAGTGAATTTTTGGATTGGACAAAACATATACCTAAAATATAACTACTGTATGTTTCCTAAGTAAGGAATTTTTTTTTTTCCTTCCATAGCCTATAAAAACATAGTTCTTTGACTGACAAGTCTTATTTGAAAGATAGTACATCTCTTTCAACATTAAAGGTGAGCTTCAAATAGGTTAGGAACTGGAGGGGTAGTTTCAACTGGACAAAACAAAATGAGGTCAGTGCATCTTTCCTTCCCTGTCTGTGTGTCCACATCAAGAGAAACAGTTTAGGATAGTGTGCACATCCATGCACCTCTGCTGTGATGGTAGCTGACTCAAAGAAATAGTTTTTAAGGTCTGTGGGAAGTTAATGGTTGTTCTTTCAACAGAGATACAAGACAGAATGAAACCTCCGCTTTCATTTTAGAGCTGAGATTTCCATCAAGTCTCTAAAGAATCATCTTCTGACATGATTATTATGTGAGTGATTCACACTTTATGATTTTTTTCTAAAACAATTAAAAATTATATTAATTGCTATAGATTTTTCCTGGCACTAAAAAAGTCTTTTTCAAGAGCTTCTATAAATGTATGAATAATAGTATAAAAATAAGTATAATAAAGATAATTAAAATTTCTTTATCCTCTGGGGCCAAGGACAACTAAGTGACTGAAACCTGAGGCCTTAGGTGAAAAAAAGCAAACATTTGACTGAGATGTGCAGTGATACAGGAGAAAAGTTATGACAAAGAACCAGTGTTCATGGAAGGGAACACATTAATACATTTTTAAAAGGCCTTACCAACTATAGGACAAGGATCAGGGAGTTATTGCTCCTGTTGCTCATCCATCTAGTAATGGAGAAAGAAACTTGAATTGAAGGGGAAAAGATAATAAGAAATTAAGAACCATGTTTGCTTCCTTCATAAAGCAATATGAAGAGTATAAACTGCATTAAATCATAGCTAAATCCTGAAGTACAAGGCTGTCAGTGATAGGATAATATCCATATGCCTCCAAAGAAGACCAACCAATACAACTATCATTCCAATTTATGCACCAACCACCAAAGCCGAGCACAAGGAAATTGAAGATTTTTACCAGCTTCTGCAGTCTGAAATTGAATACAATCAAGATGTATTGATTTTACTGATGATTGGAATGAGAAAGTTAGAAACAAAGTTAGAAACACAGGAAGTTGGAAAATGTAACCTTGGTGATAGAAATGATGACAGAAATGGAGATTGCATGATACAATTTTGTAAGACCAATGATGTGCCTTTGCAAATACCTTTATTCAACAACATAAACAGTGGCTATACATGTGGACCTTGCCAGATGGAATACACAGGAATCAGATTGAGTACATCTGTGGGAAGAGGCTAAGGAGAAGCCCAATATCTTTAGTCAAAATAAGGCCAGGAGCTGATTGTGGAACAGACCATAAATTCCTCATATGCCAGTTCAAAGTGAAGCTGAAGACAATTAAAACAAGTCCATGAGACCCAAAATATGACCTTGATTATATCCCACCTGAATTTAGAGATCATTTGAAGAATAGATTTGATGAATTGAACACCAATGTTTGAAAACCAGATGAATTGTAGGATGACATCTAGAACATCATACAAGAAGAGAGCAAAAGGTCATTAAAAAGACAGGAAAGAAGAAAAAAAGCAAAATAGATGTCAGAAGATACTCTAAAATATGCCCTTGAATGGAGAGCAGCTAAAACAAATGGAAGAAATGACAAGATAAAAGAGCTGAACAGAAGATTTCAAAGAGCAGCTTGAGAAGACAAAGTCAGTTATTATAATGAAATGTGAAAAGACCTGGAGTTAGAAAACCAAAAGGGAATAACACATTTGGCATTTCTCAAGCTGAAAGAACTGAAGAAAAAA